TTCGTGGAGCAGCAGTGTTACTGAGCGGAAGTCCACGTGCCCAATGCACAGTGAGGCCAAACAGACCGGAATGTAGGAGTCTGGAGCAGAGGAAGGTTTATTGCAGGGCCGAGCAAGAATGGGTGGTTCGTGCTTGAAAAACCCAAACTCCCCTATGATTTTCAGGGAGGTTTTTAAAGGCAAAATTTGGGGTGAGGGCTGCAGGGTGTGGGACTTCTGATTGGTTGGTGGTGAGGTAACAGGGCGGTGCTCCAGGAATCTTGTGCTCTACCTGAAGTTCCCATCCTCCACCTGAGTGGGGGCCTTAGTTCCTGCAGAAGAACGCAAGCATTGTTATGTATATTCCTTGAGGAACCAGGACTCTGCCCCAAGGCTGCTCTGTTGTTTCTTGACTGCTCCTCCCTTGGCTCTGCATCCCCTTCCTTCCCTGATTAGCAACTGTTTGAATCTGCCTTTTGGAACTCAGGGAGGGTCAAGGAGGCTGAATGAAACCTATTTCCTACAAAAGAGAAATGGGGGACGCGGAAAGGATTTGAGCGGCATCATCTGGGAGCTTGTTAGAAATGCAGACTCTCAGGGAATCAGAATGTGCAGCTGCAGTGCGACAAAGCTGCGTGGCAGTGCGATCTGAAGGAGTTCAAGGAGAGGGAGAGCCAGGCTGATCAGAGTGGGAAGGAAGGCTTCTGGGAAGACAGGAGATTTGAGGTAAGTTTTGTGGAGTATGTGGAATTAGGCCCAAGAGAGGGGAGAGAAAGGACAGATGCATTAGTGGTGAGGATACGGTTTGGAAGTGTATTAGAGTTCTCCAGAGAAACATAACCAAGAGGATGCATACAGATACGTATAGGAGGAAATTTATTATAGCAGTTGGCTCATGAGGGGACGGAGGTCTTTGAGAAGTTCCATGATGTGCTGTATGTGACCTGGAGATCCAGGGAAGCTGGTGGTATAATCTGGTTCAAGTCCATGAGAAGTTCCGTGATGTGCTGTATGTGACCTGGAGATCCAGGGAAGCTGGTGGTATAATCTGGTTCAAGTCCAAAGGCCTGAGAATTTGGAGGACTGATGGTTCAAGTCCCCAAAGGAGTCGAAGAATCAGAGCCAGGAGAGTCCAAGTCTGAGAGCAGGAGAAGATGGATGAATTCACGCTTCCTCCGCCATGTCTGATCCCGGTAAAGCCATTTCAGCAGCGGCGGGAGAGAGCAGCCTGACTGCAGGGAGTTGAGGAGGTTCACGGGGCTGAAACGAGGTTGGGGGGTGGCTAGCACTTGCCAGGCTACCTCTGCTGCCCACTTGGTATTGCATGGACACCTTCCCCAACCTTCACACTTGGTTTTCTTCCTCTGCCAGAAGTTCATCTCCTTATGGGCTGGACTTGCAACGTTCCTGAATCGTCTTTGTTTTGCATTTCTACCAGAAGCCCTTGGTGACGCCACACATTATGTTTAGGGATAACGCTAACACCAGGTCGCTGTGAGGCTAAACCATGAAACTGGCAGCGGCAGCGCCTCTCGCCGCGGGGGCGGCCTTCCCAGCCGGGAACGGCGGGGCGGGGCGGGGCGCGGGGCCGCTGTTCTCCCGCCCTCGCTGCCCGGTGCCTCCAGTGTCGGCCCAGTTCCCAGCCAGTGCGGACTTCCCTTTCCCTCCCAGAGTCTTCTTTCTTGACTGTGGCCATCCAGGAATGCTTGCCCCCGGTGACTGGGGGAGATTTAGGAGATTAGGGAGAGCAGAGAAACAAAGCGTGAATTCCCGCCGGGGCTGCACAGGTGTCCTCTCGGCGTCTCTGCCGGGATTCTCAAAACATCTCGCACCAGGTTCGCGGAGAGTGGGTGGTTGTGAGGCTGGAGGGGGGAGGGTGGTTCAGTGAGTCACCCAGGTCCTCCTGAGGTGCGGGGGCGGGGACGGGTCCTCTCCCTCATCCCTGGAGCTGGGCCAGGAATTGGTGGTGGAACATTTAACTTCACGATCCTTTATATATTTGCGTGACTATGTAGTTCATTTCATATTTCGTTTCATTTATTCATTATACTAGAAAGCTATCTGCGTTAGTGTGGGAACTTTATTCTCTGCTTCTCTCCGACAGGACTACGTGGTAGCAAAATACTGGTCTCACCTTTCTACCGTGTGATGAATATTCTCCAGGCTCTATTTCTAGGCTTCTCTGCCCTGCTCAGCCTTCCCGTTGGGTTATCTTATGGGGAGTGGGGGTGGCCCTGGCGGGGGATCAGATGGTGGAAGAGAGAGAAATGTGTATTTATCCCCCTGGCTCCCTCCTGCCTCTGTGCTCTGACAGTGGCTATTTCCATAAAGAAGGTCACAGCATCTGTGGGGACCCCTCTCCTTTGCCTGTAGCTCTTGCTGGCTTCCAGTAACAGCTCCCTGCCTTGACCAGTCAGGCCTGGCGGGGCTAACAGCTTCCTAATTTCATTAGTCCCGGGTCCCTCGCCATCCCACGTGTTTGTCTTATGCCCGCGCACACCTTTAACAGTCTCTTCATTAAACTTTCTGAGTGACCCTGTGTTTCCTGTGGGGATCCAGTGTCCCAAGCCTGATTTTACAGCATTATCTACTTTTTCAGACCCGCTATATGCCAGGCACCACATTAGGTACTAGGTTCGAAGTCTGGGAAGACAGAGATGTAAAATCACTGTTACAATACAGAGCGATAAGTGCTATCACAGAGGTGAGAACAGTGCTGTGGAAGCACAGAATAAGGGCATCAAACCAGAATCCGGTAGGGGAGGGTGTAGGGAAGGCTCCCTGGGGGACGTGACACACGCTGCTCTACGGGACGAGTAGGAGGAGGTGGTAAGGGCACAGAGGGCTTTCAGGGCAGCAAGAGATCATGAAGGCACAGAGGCACAGCACTTAGTTATCAGTTCAGGAGTGCCTGGCAAGGCTGGAGAGAAGCGGAAATGTGGCTGGACGAGGGGGCGGGGACCCATCATGAAGGCCATCGGGTGCCGGATGAATATGCATATTACGAGGAACCAGTGCCTGGTTTTAACCATGGGAGTGACACCATCAAGTTTGCCTTTAAAACCTCTGTAAAGAGTGGAGGAAGGCGTGGGAGAGGTCAAGCTGGGGCAGGGAGTTTATTGGGAAATGGTCAAGGCTGTCTTTTCTGAAGGGTAGGGACCAGTAGTTGGCTGGTTAACTTAAAATCAGTTAAAATGGATATTCATAAGAATGATATTTTAAATATTTACATATACGTTTACCAGTATTTTGCTTTACAGCCTTTCTTGCACAAATTATACTTGTAGTTTTAGTTCCTTTTTTTAATATGGAGAATTTAAAGATACTTGCCAGACAATCCAAATGCAAAATGCTTCTAGATTTTTATGAGTTTTTCCCCCATTTGTTTACAGTTGTCTCAGCTCCACCTGCATCAACTACAGCGATCTTCAGTGCATTTTCCTAAACATCTTTGGAAAGAATTCACTTTGGCTTTCAGAAAGACAACTATCTGTTTGCACACTCAGAGTCCTTTTATCCACTCATTGTTGACCCCCCACTAGAAAGTCAGCTCAATGAAGAAGGGACTTTGTGACTGTATCCTCATGACAGTGCCTGTGGTAGGGGGTGAACAGATATTTAATGAGTGAGCAGTGACAAGTTCCCCATCAGCCTGAGTAATTTAGAGGTGATTCTGGTGGTATCACTAGTCATGATCATGTATTCACCCAAGATGCATTTTTACCATTTACTCTGCAGCTTCTGCTAACTGCTTCCATCAATCTAATATATATTCTTCCCACTCTTTTCCCTCCTTTGCACAAATTTACCAACTCTCCATTGTGGGCTTTAAAAAACAATACTGTTTTATTATAACAAGCAGGAGTGGCCTGCATGGGGGGTGGGTGCACTGGGCTCAGGGTATGTGTGGGCTGTGAGGAGTGGATAATTGGGAGGCTGGAAGGAAAGAGGCTGAGTCGGGACGCCAGGCCCCAAGGCTCCTCAGATTTACTTCTGGAAATGGGTGGCCTTAACGAAGGAGTCATGGCAAGCTATGGCCAGGCCACCAATAAGATTAAGAAATTCCTGGAAATCTAGCTGCCCATCACTGTTGAGGTCCAGTTTCTTCATCATGCGGTCCAGGACACCAGGGTCCTTCTGGTTCTGTAAAGATAATAGTAACAACAATGATGTTAGTACCTTTATATTGCACTTTCTAAGATGCTTTCAAAAATGTTGCCACATTTTATTCTCCTAAGAATGTGAGGTACAAGGTAGGGGGTATTAATGCTCCAGACACAGAAACAGACTGAAACAGGTGAAGTGACTTGCCTAAGAGGAAGACCTGGGACTTGACCAGCTTTTCTGGCTCCCAGTCTAGGGTTCTTTCTGTGACAATCAGGGGTTATTCAGTTTTATAAAAACAGTGGGAAACTTTTCCCAAGTGTTGCATTGCAACTCCAATTACAAAGGTACAAAACTCCAAGTACAAGAGTGGAGTGATCTGAGATGGAAAGATGCAGGCCCTGTCTAATCAGCCTCGTCCTGCGCTCATTCAAGCCCCCAACACACACACATGCTTAAATCCACTGGCTAAATATGGCGACTCAATTAATTTAGAAAGTCAGTCCTTTAGTTGGACATGTGGCTAGTGGCTACAGGTACAGAACATTATTTCCATCACTACAGAAAGTTCTACTGAACAGGGCTGCCCTAGAGGCTTTGGGGCGGAGGAATAAAATTTGAAAATGCTTCTGTTATTCCATTTACCAATTACTCCATTTTATTAGCCCTTTTTAAATAAAAAAAAAATCACTGTTCCCCATGTCATGCAGTTTGATAACTTTGATCTTTCAAACACATTTGATTCAAAGAAGAGGGGAAGAGGCGGCCCTTTAATAGTCACTCAGTGCTCACGCAGCCCCAGGGGCTCAGCTGCTGCTCTCATCCCTGGCCACTCCGCCAGGCTCTGGTTTCATGCTGTAGGTGGTTTGGGGGGGGGGTGGGGCCAGTACCTTTGTGAAGGCAGCCAGTTCGGTATTCATGAAGGTCAGGAACTCGGTCTTGGAAAGTTTGCAGCTGTTACCATCCCTTCCGGCATACCTTCGGAAAACAGCAATCAGAGACTCGATGCACCGCTCAGTCTCTGTGGGGCTGGATATTTTTGCCTTTGGAGAAAAAAATTCAGGCTCAGAGAAGGGCAAGATGTCAAGGGCTGGATGCTAGAGAAACACTAGAGGATCTCATCTCTTCATTGGGTCAAAGCAGTTTCCTAAAAGGCTGGGTCATTTTTTAGGGGACTAAGGGGCCTGAGATAACCACGGAAAGTCACATTCTGTTCGCTTCCTTTCTGTATCTCATGTTTATTCAAAGTGAAAGGGGTGGGTAAATACAGAGCATGCTGACACTGCTTAGATGAGGGTGTCATGGTTTATTGATGTTTCTCAAATTGGGGGTAAATATATGTATAGGTATATACCTACACATCCAGTACACAACAAGCATGTCCATAGATTAAAAAAAAAATTCCTGTTTTCCAAAAGTATATAGAGGCTACTGTGATGAATGAAGTGGCAGTTCTTTTTAAAGCAATACTGAATTCCCTGGACTCATGCATTTTCCAGAAGAAAACTGAAAGCGTAGATATTACTGTGTATGAGGTGGGAGATCTGAGAATCTTTTGAATGTTCAAAAGCAGCTTTTATATTTGAGAGTTAGGAACCATTAATTTTACATGTGAGGAGAATGAGACATGAGAAGAGAATTGACATAGCAGAGCTACTCCTAGAATCTCAGCCTCCAGGTCACTTTCTGCAGTTCCTGGCCTTTGTTCTATTCTCAGATGCCACTAATTCCCACAGGAATGGCTGGTGGAACCTCACTGGTCATGGCAAACCAGGACGGTTGATATGGGGGCTCTCAGGTTGCTGCTCACACAACTCCCATGGGGAGCTAAGCCACAGCAGTGGTTGCACCAGAAGGACTGGGAGATTAAAATCCTGTTCTCGGCTCTGCTTTCCTTACAACGGAATTCTTCAAGGAAATTCTGTTATCCCCAGTCTGTCCATCGTGCCAGCCGGCACCTGGGGCCCCAGATGTGAGAAACTGGTGGGCTCCCTCTAGTGGATAAGAGCCGCAACTGCAGGGAAAACTTGCCGGGCCACCCTTCCTTCGAAGCTTTATCTCTGCGCAGTAACGGTGATCTATATTTGGATGTTTGCAACGTAGCATTTAGCCATTTATTTGTCTTGGGATGGACTTCTTGGAGACCAGAGCTGGAGGATTTCAGGCCCCATAATTAACATGCTAAAGATTGTTACTGATCTGAGCCCTTAGTGCTGGTTGGTCCCCTTCGCTCTTTCAGTCTTTACATGTGCTTTTAACTGCCTAGCCAGGTGCCTGCTGCTCACTGCATCCTGGAGCATCTACAAAGCCCCTTCCAGAGTTGGGTTCTAAAGAACTCTTCTAGAGGTGGATTCTTCCCCAATAGTCACATTATTGAAACTTTTTTTTGAGAAAAGTATTGATAGGTTCAGGGTTTTGAGGAGAAACAAAATACCACAGCCTAGAAACAGATGTGTTTACACAACTGCTTTTTTTATCAGGACTAAAATTTCATTGTCTTACTAACGTGTCAGATGACAGGAACAAGGTTGGCTGGGGGGGCACACCATATAGGGTTGAAGTTTCCAAGCTAGGAGCAAGGGCTTTGTGACCTTTTTCTAGACCTACAGAAGTGTCCTTTCCCCTTCTTGCTTTCGGAATTCAGACAGCTTTGATTTTCCAGTGTTTTTCTGCTCCCTCCCCCTGCTTAGCGTCAGTCTTGCCTGTTTTTTTTTCCCTTGAAAACTTGCTACCAGCCACATGGAGAAAATTAAAACCCCTGCATTTCTCCCCAGAGGTGATTTTCCAGAGCAAAAGTAAGAAACAGTGATCAAATTACTTAAGTGGAACTGCAAACTTTGTAGTCCTGGAGGGGATTTTGGAGATGGTTCCCCCACAGAGAGGCCCAGAGACTGAAAACCCTTGCCCAGGTTGGAGCAGTAGCTGAGGGAAAAGAGAATGAGAACTCCTGCCTGGAAGCCAGTGCTCCCCATTGCTGCATCTCATAGTTGTGTATGATGGGAATACAGACAGGAAGGAGAAAACAGTATGATACACGGATGCTCTGGCATGCATTTTTAAAATTCTTTCAAACATTCAACATTAAAGAAAGAAAAAAAGAGAGAGAGAGAGAGAAAGAGAAGTTACACCTAACAGAAAACCTCAAGTATTGCGGTTCTCACTCTTAATTAGTATGCTTTTCTTCCCAAGGAGCCCTGGTGACAAGCACCTTCCTTCAAGGCAGTCATTCCAGGTCTTCACCACCTGGTGGTGCTGGGTCTGCCTTTTCAAAATTCCATGTGACTTCAAGTCTCCGTTTTTGCATGGAAAGAAGAGCCTGACAGACTAAAGCAGGGGTTGACAAACAAGTTTTGTAAAGGGCCAGATGGTATATGTACGTATCTCAGGCCCAAGTGGTCCATATGGTCTCTGAGCCTCTGCTTTTGCAACAGGGCTGCAACCACAGAGAAAACTCATGAATGGGCGTGGCCGTGTGCCAATAAAACTTTATTTATGGACGCTGAAGTTGATTTTCATATAATTTTCATGTGTTACAAAGGATTATTCTTCCTTTGATTTTCTTTAAACGATTTAAATATGTAAAATCCATTCCTAGCTCCACGGCGGAGCGGAACCCCCATTTGGCCCGCTGGCGGAAGTTTGCTGACTTCCTTCACGAAAGAGGGGCCAAGGAGGAGGCAGATTTTGGAGGTGGATGAATGGAAAAGACGGAGAGAATTCAAAATGGGGGTGGCAAGAGCTGAGAGGAGGGAAAACAGGTGACGGAGTGAGCGCCTAAAAAGATGGTGGGCTAAAGGAAAAGGAAAGGAGGGGGCTTCGTGGGGCCGGGCTCCTCCCACATTCCTGGCCGCCGGCCCGCCGCCTGGGACGGGCTTCAGTTTCAGCCTGGGTCTTGGGCGTCTGCGGGGAGTTTACCGAAACTCTGATTTCCCCCAGGGCTCAGACGGCTGGTTCTGAGACGTGCTCTTTCTGGTCTCTGTTACTAGGCATAACCAGCGCCGCTTCGCAGAATTCCAGCCCGCCTTTACTTGTCTCCCGGGCTCCGGGGACACAGGCGGCGAGGGGCTTCCCGCACCGGCCGGGCACCCCGGCCCCCTTCCCGGCCGAGCGAGGGCTCCGGGCGGGGCGCGGCCCGCTATGCGCTGCCTCTATCCCGGCCCTAGACTTCCGCCGGGAAAGCAAAAGAACTTGCCGTTGCTACCTGAGGCTGTTATTACAGCTATAATTTAAGGTTTCTTTCTCATCCTCTCTTCCCTAATTCCTTCCCATAGATTCATTTTTCCTGCTGTTTCCTGCCACGTCAACAGAAAAATCCAAGACCAAGCCTGGGGAAAAGTATGCTGTTGCTTTTTTCTTTTCGTGTAAAAGGAAGACAGATAAAAAGCGCGCCTTACCATGTCGGCGAGGAGCGAGGCACGGGGCTGCGAGCG